TTTTTTTTTTTTTTTTTTTTTTTTTTGTGATCAAATGATCTTAAGATAAACTCTGGAAAAATCCATAGATGCCTACCACTCAAATAAAACTGAGATTTGGAACCTACCGGCTTCTGTGACTACTAGACGTGAGGTCTGCCTGTCTGTCTGTCTCTCTCCCTCCCTCCTTCCCTCTCTCTGCCTTTCTTTTCCAACTCCAACAGGAAAGATCACCTACAAGGAAATTCCCAAATGCTCTTGCTGTTTTGTCTCAAAGAAGCACTTTTTACAGTTTGTCAGAGGATTTCCATGGTAACTAAAAAAGATCTTAAAAACGACCTGTTGTTTTACCTCTTTATCATCTTCCCCACCCCTTCTCAACTCCTTCACTGCCTCGTTTCCTTTTAGTTTCCCTGTCTGTCCTGTTCTCCTTCTAGACCGCATTGCTTCTGCGCTCCCCATCTCCGGCCTCCTCCTCTTGCCCACTGGGCCCCTTTCCTGCCTTATTTTCTGCCATCTCACACGCCAAACTGTGGACGCCTGAGAACTGGCCTCCAGGGAGAGAAAGCGAAGCCCGCACTGGGGGTGGGGGAAGGGTGGTGAGGGAGAAGTGAATACGGGGGACACAGAGGGAGAGGAGGAAAACGTACTGAACTAGTCAAGTGTGGGGGGGTGTAATACCAGGCAAGGACAGGAGCCCCAGGCATACATTCTAATTCCATCCTCTCCCAGCAACCCTGGACAATTCACTAAACTTTTCAGGGAATCAGATTCCTCAACTCTAAGCCACAGGAGTGGATTAAATTATTTTCAAAGTCCCATCTAGCTTCGAAGCTGTCGGCTTCAAACTCTGCCTTACTCCTTTCCGATCCCCTGCCCATGCCGGCCTCCTTACTCCTTCTTCTGTCTCTCATAACCCTTCCAGCTGAAGGCAAAGCCTTTGTGCATTCTGGCTCCCGATCACAACCCCACTGATGTACAAACGGGAAGAGTGTCCAATTCTTAACTTGTTTTTCACTCAAATGTTGAACACACACCTTCCAGCTTCCGGACTTCTTTTTCAGGAGGGACACGATTTTTGAGGAAGCTAATGTGAAAGCAGCATACCTTCCCTTTAGCACGCATGTTACGGTCGGCTTTGCCACAAATGTACCCAGGACAAGTATTTAAGGCTGGCAGGTACAGTAGAGGATGACCGGGGTATACATACATCACAAATTCACATATTTCAATACAATATTTTCAATGCGATTCCTTTCTGTCCCTCGTTCTGAGTCCTCAAATCCTCCTAGAAGTGCTGGCTGCACATCGAAAGCTGCGCTGTTGTCAACATGTGGGGAAAAAAATCTTGTTTTCATTTATTTGCAGAAGGAATGTTTTGGGGTCATTTTCCAAGAAATCTTCTAAGGAAGATACTGTGACAGTTTCACAGCTCTGCCATAACCATAATTAAAATGTTAGCGACTGACTTGAACTTGAAGTGCACAAAAGCACTAGGAGTTAGAGTGAACTAGCAAGATGTTTAACACAGAGGTTTAGCGAAACAAAGCCCTTACGCTGCTTCAATTAAGACGGGGTTTATTTAGGGAGAACTCTAAATCAGTTATTCAGGAAAGCTTTTTCAGCCCCCCCCTTGGCCAAAGCGGTAAGCCTCCCAGTTACCTGGAGTTTCTAGGATAGACAATGTCTTAGAGCAGATGAGTGAGAAGCCAATCTCTGGACACAGAGCTTCAAACATCTGGATTTCACACCTGAATGCAATGTTGGCTAGCTGAAGGACTCTGGGCAACTCACCTGCCCTCTCTAATCTGTGGTTCCTTCATCTATGAATAAGGAATAACAAGATTATCTCAACATGCCCTCCCCCTTCCCTCCATTCATGTGACTGCGCAATGGCATTCCAAGCAAGAGAATCAAAAGCAACGCTTGCCACATTCTGGGAACACAACAAATGTCGTTTACATTTTCCTTTCTTCCTTCTTTTACTTTAACTCAAAGCACTTATTGAGTATATACTCTGTGCCGGACACTGTGCAGGGGCCTGGTTAACAATGGTTTGCCTCTAAAGTGTTATGACTTGGAAAAAAAAAAAAAAAAA